AGAATCAAACTTTCGACTTTTCAATATTTCGGAAGCTGTTAATCAAACATTTGACCTTTCAACATTTTGAAAGTCGTTGAATTAAACTTTTGAACTTAAACATTTAAAAAGTCAGGGATTCAAAAAAAAAGATTTGAAAAGATAAACAAGTCATGCAGGGCACATTCCCCGTTAGTTATCAAATGTAAGATATATAGTTTTGTTTATAGAAATATAGTACTGGAATACTGCTCTGGAACAGCATTACCGTACTTATCCTGGGTAAGAGCCCATGCCTCCGCAAAGACCCCCCATTAACAGTTGACTTTCTTGAAGTCTGTCGTGATATTTATAAAAAATGTTAATTGCGTAAACAAGGGGTGAATGCAAAATAGCTGTGACAGCTTTCTGCCATCAGGGCAGCGCGTTTTGAATCATAACAGTCAGCAAGTCTATAAAAATGTACGGTAGTTCTCTTCTTGAAATATGTCGTGGCCCTAAAAATGGCCCGCCATTTGGTTTGTGCTTCCATAGAACCGATTCAGGCAAATCGTATAAGGAGAGCTGCTAACAATGAAACCAATGTTGCAATATTGTAGCAAACCGTACCTGGGAGTGGTTGAAATCACGTTATTTTGGCTTTATAAAATATTTTGTAGTAGCTTGCGAATCCATAACTGGGGTCAGCAATTTTGCAATGTCACGCCGAAGACTGCCAACTTTTTTAACATCTTTCATCACCGTCATGAAAACTATTCTTCTGTCGTTGAATAAAAATAAAACTTCCTATTTCAAGTCCACCGCGATATAGTGAGACATTCCAACCGCCGGAACTTACAGTGATTACAGTGTAATAAGCGTCGAGTCTGATAAAAAAGCAATGTCACGATTTGACCTTTATGATGAAATACTGATGAAATACTAGTAGTGATGTCATTCTTAGCCAATCAGTAAAGCAGATGCATAAAGGTCAAAGATGATTGCTAGACTGTAAACAAAAGCATTGTGACTCCAACAATTTTGGTGTAAAATGTCGCTTGTGGCAGAGTCTAGTTGCAGCTCTCTGTGGCTCCCTAGGTCCAAGAAAACTCTGCAAGGGAGAGTGACAATCTGTGTAACACTTGACATTTAATCAAAACCAGGGTAAGCGTCTAGTCAAACATTTATCAAACAATGTTTTATTCATTGTTGTTGTCAGACACTTTATTATGTCATGCATAGATATGCTCGTTCATTTAATAAACAAATTCTATTTTGAACGTTTCATTAATATAATAAACCTTGTTAATACAAATATGTAATACAACACCCCTAACATATAATGGAATTACCCTCGCGAGAACAGTTTAGTTTTGAATGTAGTTTCTGGATTCAAGTTTGAATTGCTCGCTGACTATAAAATTATTGCTATTATGCCAAAGCGTGTAGACGAAGACACTCGGAAGGAGATTATTCGTCTTTTCTTTGATGGAATAGTTTGCGAATGATCGCCAAGGAAGTTGGACTAGCGGGGGCAACGGTCCAAGGGATTGTGAGGCATTTCCGTCGCACCGGTTGGATACGTTCCGACAGAGTAGCGGGCCGTTGTCGACTGAAATCTACACAGGAAATCGTAGAGTTTATGGAATTTCGTCTCTTACAGAAACCATCCCTGACGGCAAAGGAAATACGCATGTCTCTCTTGAGGGAAAATATTTGCGTACAGGAAAATTTGCCTTCGGTGCGTATGGTACATCATATAATGAAAAGTGATTTGAATTATTCGTTCAAAAAAATAAGTCAAACTCCTACTGAGCAAGTTACTGAAAGAAATATGGAACGAATATTACAATATATAGACACTGTTTCTCAGCTTGATCCACAAACTTTGCACTTTTTCGACGAGACTGGTATGAAGAGAACAACGCCAAATCGCAATTATGGTCACAGTTTACGCGGTCAAAGAGCTGTCGAGTTTCAACGCTATGCTTCTGACATCAATTTTACAGTGAACCTCTTACACAACGCCCCAGGTGTAAGTAACTTCAACATTTTACGCGGTCCTTCC